CTTACCACAGTTAGAATTAAGTACTACTGTGATCATCTACTTAAATTCTGACTCTTCCACTAGATGTAAGTTCCATGAGGAATCATATGTCTTGCCTAGGTATCTTCACTGCCTTACATTATAGGCATTTAATAAACAATAGATAGGTGGAAAAGAACGAATGATTCAAAAATCTCATATTTGCATTCTCAATGCTTCAACTAATTTTCATTACTGGAGTTCTCTCAAATACGTCACATCCACTTAGAAAACTGCCTCAAATTCACTATATCAATATAAGAGAAATAAAACTAGAAAAACATTTCCTTTTCCCTTCCCAAACCCTTCCTACATCCTTAACTAACCTGTAAATACTAAGATCAAAACATCTAAGCAACTGAAAATAAGTCAAAATGATTTTTCTCTATTCTATCACCTTACATCCAAAGAATGACTAGGTCTATGACATCAACGCCTCAAAACAAATCTTCCTTAACTTCAGCTGATTTGCTACTAGTGCATCTCAATTTATTACTTATCTTCTCTGTCTCCTGACCATTGTTACGCTAAACTTTATTAAAAAGGTTCCATCTATCCCAAATCTTATTCAGGAATGGCGCCTTATCAAATAAAGCCTAATCTCATGAGTAAACATTAACCAGTCCTCCACACCACCATAATAGTACATTTAAAATTTATGCAACATCCATTTCTGGCTAAAATGGAGTAGCTTGCTCCAAATCAACACTTCCACTGAGAACAACTAGAGTAGCCTGATGAAAGGGAAAAGAAAAATGTTTAAAGGCATCAAAGAACTGCTAAGCCAACCAGGACTTGAAGGATCAAGGTCCTGAAGAAGCGGGAACAGAGAAGAGGTAAGCCAACACGGGAGCTGTTTATTCCTCAGCGTTATTTACCAATTCTGGACACAGGGCAAGAGAAGGATGATCTGGGCAAAGCACCCAGACAGAAAGGTACTATAAAGTGGGAAAAAAAAGAAAACCCACAGCAGCATTTTTGGCAATCTCTTGAGGATAAAGAAAAATAACAGACTTAAAGGGCCAGAGTCTGTTGGAAAGGTAGGGCCAAAGACCTTAGCCTAATATTCTGACAATTTTCCATCAAAACTTTTGATAAATCCTTAAATTGCAAGAGATATGAGAATAAAAAGCCAAGCAGAAAACCAATGAAAAACAAAGGAGAATATTTAGAAACTTCATAATACTGAGGACAAATTAATTAGAATTTAGAATCCACCAGTGAGAAAAAGTCCCAATGAACATCCCCAAGCTCTTAGTGGGAACCTTTGGAGGGCTGCCTCAAAAGCAAAGCAAAGCAAATAAGAAGCAGATAGAGAACTATCAAAAACGGACCCCAGGCTCTAATTGAGAGGCAAATTGGCCTTGTAAAGAGACAAAGTTTAGAGTTTAGGATCTATCAATAAAGAAATCCCAATGAACACACCTGGCTCTTGCTTGAAAGCTCTGGAGGGTTACAGCTTGGGAGAGGGAAGGGAGCAATGACAGAAAGCTTGAGCCCTACAAAAACTAAAACACATCCTGAACCAGCCCAGTCTCCATCAGGTTATGGCAACCTGCTCCCACTCTTATTTTTCTAGTAAAGGAAAAGTAAACCCTTTACAGAAGAAAATAATATTATCTGGAGCCTCTAAACTTTTATATACACAATTTCCAACATGAGACAAAAGACACTTGGCAAAACACTGCAGCTTGAATGGCCAAGGACAAGCAGTGAAAAACAGCCAGCAAGAGGCAGTGAAAAAACTCGAATGCCTCTAAATTAGATCAGTTTCCTCATTTCTCCCCTTGTATCATTTTTGTTTTTTTTAAAGAAAGAGCAGTCAGCCATCTTACTGAGCAGAGACAAGGAGATTTAAGGTTTTACTTTTTTTTTTTTTTGCTATATTCAATTTTTTATTGATGCAATTATGAAAATAAAAACCCTTTATTCTTTTTACTGTTAAAAAAATACTAGGCCTTAACATTTATGCAACAGAGTTGAAAACTTCTGTCCACGCAAAAACCTGTACACAGATGTTCATAGCAACCTTATTCATAATTGCCAAAACTTGGAAGCAACCAAGATGTCCTTCAGTAGGTGAATGGATAAATAAACTGGTACATCCAGACAACAAATTTATTATTCAGCACTAAAAATAAATGCACTAACAAGCCTTGAAGAGACTGAAAGGAAATTTAAATACATATTACTAATAGAAGCCAATCTGAAAAGTCTATATAATGTATGATTCCAACTATATGACACTCTGGAGAAGTCACAAATATGGAGACAGTAAAAAGATCAGTGGTTGCCAAGGGTTAGGGGAGAGGGAGGGATGAACAGGTAGAACATCGAGGACTTCTAGGTCAGTGAAACTACTCTGTAAGATACTATAATGGCAAATACATGCTGTTACACATCTATCCAAACCCCTAAAATGCATTATCACCAAGAGTAAATTATGGTTTTAGGGTGATAACAACATGTCAAGTTCATCATTGTAACAAATGTATCACTCCAGTGAGAGATACTGACAATGGGGGAGTCTATGCATATGTGGGGGCAGAAAGTAAATGGGAAATCTCTACCCTCCTCTCAATTTTGCTGTGCACCTAAAATTGCTGTAAAAAAATAAAATCTATTAAAATAAAATACAAGGAATGCCAAGATCCAGGAATATATGACCAAAACCACAAGAAAAAAAGTAAAATATAGGGCCTGGCCCCGTGGCCAAGTGGTTAAGTTCGCGCGCTCCGCTGCAGGTGGCCCACTGTTTCGTTTGTTCGAATCCTGGGCACAGACATGGCACTGCTCATCAAACCACGCTGAGGCAGCATCCCACATGCCACAACTAGAAGGACCCACAATGAAGAATATACAACTATGTACCGGGGGGCTTTGGGGAGAAAAAGGAAAAAAATAAAATCTTAAAAAAAAAAAAATTTCCTCTGAATTTAAAAAAAAAAAAAGTAAAATATAATAAAAACAGACTCAAGGGGATCTAGATTATGGGAGTTAGCTGAAAATTATTTTAAAATAACTATGAAAGAAAATAGAAAGATGGAGAATTTCAAGAGAGCATGAAAACCTAGTGTAGTTATACTAATAGTAACAAAGTAGACATTAAGGCAAGAGGTATTACTAGAGATGAAAAGACACAATAATAATAAAAGAGAAAATCTACAAGGAAGATGCAGCAATTATAAACCTGTTTGCACTCTAAAATTAAAAATACAGCAGCCAAAATTTAAAAATAGATATTTAAAAATAGATCCAGTAATTTCAATTCTGGGTATATATCTGAAGGAAACAAAATCACAACGTCAAGAGGTATCTGCACCCACATGTTCACTGCAGCATTATTTATGACAGCCAAGACATGGAAACAACCTAAGCGTCCACTGACAGATGAATGGATAAAGAAAATGTGCTGTATATATACATACATACACACACACACACACATGCGTACACACACTCACAATAGAATACTACTCAGTCATAAAAAAGAAGGACATCCTGCCATTTCTGACAACATGGATGGACCTTGAGAGCATTACACTAAGTGAAATAAGCTAGACAGAGAACGACAAATACTGTATAAGCTAACTTATACATGAAATCTAAAAACAAAATTGAACTCATAGCTACAGAGGACAGACTGGTAGTTGCCAAAGGGAGGGTGGGGGATAGGAGGAATGGGTGAAGGGAGTCAAAAGGTACAAACTTGCAGTTATAAAATAAGTAAGTCATGGGGATGTAACGTACAACATGGTAACTATAGTTAATATTGTAATATATGTGAAAGTTGCTAAGGGAGTAAATCTTAAAGGTTCTCATCACAAGAAAAAAAATATATAACTCTGTATGGTGATGGGTGTTAACAAGACTTACTGTGGCGATCATTTCACAATATATACATATATCAAGTCATTATGTTATACAGCTGAAACTAAGATAATGCTATATGGCAACTGTATCTCAATAAGAAAAAATATTAAAGAGAATTCTTTAGTCAGGAGGAAAATGATTCTAGAAAGAAGGATAGAAATGTAGGACAGAATGAAGAACACCAGGAGAAACAACTGTGTGTATGTGTATATACATATATATAAAAATATTGACTTTAAAAACAACAATAAAGTTTGTCATTTTAAAATATAGAATTAAAATGCTTCAGAACAATAACACAACAGGTGAAAGGGGTAGAAAATGTATTAAGGAGTTGAGATCCTTGCATTATAAGGAAATTGCTAAAAGTAACAACATATATTATGTGCTATATATGTTCTAATCTCTAAAGTAACTTCTAAAAGAATAGTAAAAGAATGTATAACTAACCAGTTAATAGAAAGAAAAATATAATAAAATTATTGATTAATTCAAACGAAGGCAGATGAAGAGGAAAAAACACAGAACAGGTGAGAGACAGAAAACATACAGCAAGATGGTCAATATAAAACTAAATATACTGGGTGATGTCAGTGAAAATAGCAGTCAAAAGTTCCTAAAATTCTCCCCTCCATAAGAGCAACAAGAAAACTGACCCCAAAAAATGTCAGGGAAAAAAAAAAAGACAAATACGTGAGATGATGGATATGTTAATTAACTCAATTGGAGGAATCCATGCATAATATAAACATATATCAAATTATCACATGGTACACTTTAAATATATTACAATTTTATTTGTCAATTATACCTCAATAAAGCTAAAAAAAGAAAAAAGAAATAACATTATACGTTCAATGAAAATATGGTAACATCTTACTGTGTACACAAAAATTTTATTTTTTTCCAAATTAAATTTAGTGTTTTACCTTGCAGGTCAGCTTTTTAACAATATCTCTTTAATTCATAGCCACAATAAAGATCAGATACGCTAATTACAAGGAAATACTTTGACTAAAAACAGGTATAAAATATATTGCTAAAACTGCAAATATATTAAGTTGAAATGTGTAAAAGCATTTCTAAAATACATCTTAAAATAGACATACTTATCCCAACCAAGAGTTTCTATCTCTTCAATAAGGCTTGAGTAGAACTGGGGAGGAGGAGGTAGTGCATATAGCTCTTGTTTATTCTTTAAAGCAACTTCCTGTTTAAAAGAAAAAACTTGCATCAGCTGTGCAATGCTAGGCGATGAATTGCTAGCACCTGATTACAAAACACAATTTTTGTGAGGCCAGCCCAGCAGTGCAGCAGTTAACTTCACATGCTCTGCTTCGGCGGCCCAGGGTTCACCAATTCGGATCCCGGGCACAGACCTATGCACCACTTATCAAGCCATGCTGTGGCAGGCGTCCCACATATAAAGTAGAGGAAGATGGGTATGGATGTTAGCTCAGGACCAATCTTTCTCAGCAAAAAAGAGGAGGATTGGTGGCAACTGTGAGCTCAAAGCTAACCTGCCTCAAAGAAAAGAAAAAACCACAATTTTGCCATCTTCTTTGTGCCTAACTAAAGTGTCAATTATTTTTACAGAAAATCCAGCAGAATCATTCCCTTTCTCATAATAAAAGAGACATGAAAAAGTTAAAGGACTGCACTGAAGTTCATGTAAAAATGTCAATTATTCTATCATTCAAACTTAAGACTTTAATATTCTCCTAGACTACTACTACGACTATGAGAGACGGAAAAAGTTAAAAAAAAAAAAACTCATCTTCAAGGCTTCACTATTTTTTCTACTCCTGTGGATATAATATTTGATAGAAAGAAACATGTACCTTTAAACAAAAGCCTGAACTCTAAATACATTCCCTAGACTTATATATTTGTATACACACCATTATGAATCACATCCTTACAAACAAAAAGGCTTCATTATCACAATAAATACTTACCTGCTAATGCCTTTTGGTGACTTACATTCTGTATTACTCCCAGACCAGGTAAGTGTTCTGCCATCTATCTGGCTAGACCATAGTTCCTATCTCTGCTAGGCTCACCTATGGTATCTTTAAGATGGTTTATGCTCCCCCTAAACAAAACTAAAATTTTATTTTTTACAAGCAATACAAACATTGCTGGAATTGCTGAGGCTAAAAATTATCAATTACTTCAAAGCTGTAAACCTAGACAAATATCTTACTTGGAAAGTAAAAATAAATCTACAAATTACATAGATGTTCATATGGTCTGGATTATCAGAAGATATTATAAAAAGTAAATACAACTTTTAAAACAATCAGATACAATAAATAACAAAATCAGATGGGAACAAGTATAAAATTATAAATGCTTCTGGTAAATATAACCCTAATAAAAGGTATAAATTTTTATTCCTTTAAGTATATGTTTAATCTCTTAGTCCTTATATTTTTTAAAACAAGGATAGGATAGTATTAAATTGAGGTAATACTAGAAAGAATGGATTTTACAAAATAGTATCTCAAAGTCAGGACTATAAACTGAGACCACTTTAATACAGTTCTAAATCTGCTTTAGGATTAAAATAATAATAACTGTGAAAGCAGAGTGTAAAGCCCAGAACATCAATTTGGATTTATTTAGAACATAAGCTCCTAGAAGACAAGGAGTATACTGCTTTCTTTATAAACGAAATATCTAATGTTATCTGCAAATAGTGCAATGGTCCACAAAAATAAATTTGTACTATTAAGATTATCCTCTGTCACTAAAAAAATAAGTCAGTATAGTTCCTGTACTTACGCATATACCAGCTACATAGTATTTCTTTTGAAATTTCTATTTTTATTCAGAAATATTAATTACTGCTATCCACATACATTGAAGGTAAAAATAAACTTGGACAGTAATAAAAATGCATTTTAATCCTACATTTATGATATTTGTAAACTCTGCCTTCCACACCTTGGGTCAGACAAGTTACTCCTATTCTAGAACCTTAACAGAAAAAAGGGCAAAGGCAGAGAAGCAAAGCATTCTTCATGGAGAAGGAAGCAAAGGTACCCAGGAGAAAGAACACAGGCCTTACAAACAGAAGTTTTAGATCCTAACTTTAGCATTTCCCAGTTTTGAGGCCTTAGGCACCCAGTGACTCAGCTCTAAAATAGGAATAAAATAACCCACCTCATAGGGTTCTTTTAACATATAGGTAAATGTTCATTTATTAAATACATACTGAACTACTATACAAAATCTTAGTTATTACTAGGAAACCCTGTGGGAGACTTACAAAATTTCCTGAATAAGTTCAATAACTACTGACTTCATTTGGGCACCACTCAACATTTTTATCAGTGATTCTATTACAGAAACTCTATTAGTGACAATACAACACAACAAATAAACGACTAACTCTTACATTTTTAGGTACATTGTCATAAATGTGCAATAACATCACCAACTCTGTCCATAATTTCTTTAGAAAGTTAAAAATGGGATCTTATTTTATTCAAACATGCAGTAACAATAAATACAATATTGTGATCGATCTCAATATTTTATTTTAGTTTTAAACTAATGAGTGTTTCTTTAAAATCAAATGACCAATAGAGCTGTGCTTACAATTTAATAAAGTTAGTTTCAGCAATAAGAGCTTAATGGGACATGGTACTTACAGTTTTATCTGGTTCCCTTAGTCTTTCTATTTGTATAGCTTATTAAAATTATGATAAAAAGATAAAAGAAACTGTTCAAAATTTTTTTCCAATGTCGAGGGTATGTAAACCAAAATATGCTTCACTTCTTCACCTTACCTTTTTTAAGGTTATTATATTTTGGACTTTGACAAAATTTACAATCAATTTGATAATCCTTATTATTTAGGGTTTATAAATTTATAAGTCAAAATTTAAACTTTAGGAATAGATTTTAAACTCTTTATTCTGATCCAAAACAATTTACCAAAGCCATACCTCAAAGAGTGGTTATAAGGATTAAAAAAAGGACTCAGAAAAAATCTAACAACTAAGCTCTCAATATGTGGTAGCTGCTGCTAAGAATAAAAATGTCTTAAAAGGAACGACAAAGAAATATCAAACTGCTTTCAGTTTTTAGTAGCAATACTGGAATTGTAATTTTGTAAAACAAATATAAATGGAGAGAAAGAGGAAAAGCATAAGCAAAATATAACAAAAAACATATTATGTTAATATTAGAAACCAAGATTTTCAGAGTAAGAGGAAAGAGATACAAGCATAAAATCAAAGAAGTAAACACCGTACAATGCCAAATTTGAATTGGAAATATCAATATGAACTCATGGTTAACTATTCTCTTTCTAAAAAGTATTTTTTCCCAGCTTTATCCACTGAAAAGACCTAGAAGTAATGGCAATGAGCACTACAGTTTCCAGATTGTGACATCCAAATACCAATTCCTACAAAGAAACCATGGCTCTGAAGAAATAACTGATTACAGTTCTGGGACAGGATGAGTAAATGAGCTTGGGGCAACTGGTATCAGAAAGCAAAGCTGGGTTGTATTAAAAAAACTCAGGAGCCAACACGAAGGGGCTTATTATGCTGACCAAAAATAGGACAATTTAAGTATCAAAAAGAATAATGATTACAATGGATTAAAGTGAATCAAATATATAAAAACCCAAGAGTTCATAATGATACTAAAAAAATAAACATTAGTTCCCTGTGACAGCAGCTAAGCACCAACTCATTATCCTAAAAACTGATTTTTTTTTTTAATAAAAAGCACTTATCCTATCTCTCCAGTATGACCTACACCTCAAGGTAACCAAAAACTGAAGAGGGGAAGTTCTTCTCTATAGATTTTTCAGCTAATTAAACGTAGATGATGGAATTTTAAAAATCACCATTTGTAACCTAACAAAATAGTGGATGTAAGCAATGACCATCGCTGGATGCTAAAATCATTAGGTGAACGGCAAATGGGAAACTTTATACTGGATGGATCGAAACCTATTGCTCAATCTTAACTTTACTAAGAGAGGAATTATCAGACACCATGTGCCTCCTGAAGCAATGAAAGAGCAGAGCACAGAGTGTTCTTACCAGAACAAACGAACAAAGATCTGTTGAGACCTCTAGACCTAACTGCCAGGTTATAAAGAAGATAGAAGAATATGCTAAAAAATACCACCAATATCTAATAAATCAAATCCAGGATGTGGGAAATTTTATAGGTGACATAATCTGATTTATTCAACAAGTAGATGGCATGAAAAAAAAAAGGTGGGACCAAGAGGAGGTGCTACTATAAATATTACGAGACTTAAGAGACATGTCAACTAAATATAATGTGAGGACCTTGTTTGGATACTGAAACAAACATAGCAGCTATATGGAATTATCATTAACTTTGTTGAGGTTATAATAGTATATTTAAAAACAGACTAAAAGCACTGAGCTGTTAGAGATATACACCGACATATTTATGGAGGAATGGACAGGATGTCCAGGATTTCCTTTAAAATACTCCAGTCCCTTCTCCTAAAAAGTAGGGGAAGAAATATGATCGGCAAAATGAAGTTAGGTCAGGGGCCCACAGGTATTTACTATAGCCCTCCCTCTGCTTTTCTTTATGTTGAAAACTTGCATAATAAAAAGTTTTTAAAAAAATAATACAATGTGATAGAATGAACTAAATAATCATTTCATAAATAATTAACTGAATAATCAACCTCTATGTAACTGTGTATATGTAATAAAACCTCATGTTTTTCAGAAATCTGCAGCTGCAATACAATTTGCAATACAAAATTACTTATACATTGTACTAGATCTTTAAGTGAGATTATATAACATCTTAAATGTTAAATTCTCTGACAGATCAAGAACACATTTTATTTCTTTACCACCTGCCCAAGATCAGTGTCAAGTGTAGCCAGTTCAAGAAAAGCACCATCCAAGAATGCATACAGTAAAATAAAATATTAAATGACTGGGAGTTGAGAAGTTTTAAATTCTAATGATGTTAGTTTTTAAAGGAATTAGAGAAACAATCAAGACCTATAAACAAGGTAACAGTGTTAGAAAACAAATTCTTACCAAAACCATCTTCAACTCCATCAGAAAGCTCATTAGATCAGGAGAGTGCTGCATTCTCTAGATCAAAACAACATTTCCAATTAATTTCATTTGTATAATGAATATTCCATCTACTGAAACTGAAATAAAATACAGGTCCGAATGTCAAAAAAATATTAGCTATATCTACAGCTGAAAAGTATAAGCATTAAAGTATTGATCCATCATCCCTACTATCTCTACCAATTTCATTTTGAAAGAGTAACTGTAGCCCCCAAATCTATTGTAGTGAGATACAATGAACTGTGTAAGAATGTGACAAAATCTCGCACACTCCTCTGTTCCTTCAGCACTATTTACTGCAAAATTTAGCAAATCTAGCAAACTATAGCCTTATCAACAAAAAACTAAAAGTGATATGGGAGTGAAAAGAGGAGCATAAAATATAAAAATCAGACAAATCTATAAAATTGTAAAAATCTAGTTAAAGAATTAACAATTATTAATGAATACTATTTTTTTTCTTAACCTTAAAGATTACCTATAATTATTATTTTTGTCATTTCACAATTAACCCAAATAATTCAAAAGGAGCCAATCTTTCAATAAGGTAAAACCTGTCATAATAAAATAGCAAAAAGGAAATAACTTCTACAATAGAATGAATATTTAATAGTTATGGTTCCAATTGCTAGAAATCCTCAATTTTTAAAATAAAATAACTAGAATAAAAGAAAGCAAGAAAATTCTCAAGTTTAAAATTGTTTTCTTAGATAAAACTCTACATCATTTCTCTGCTTGAAATCAAAATATCGTATGTGTTACTTTTTGTGACGCACTGCACCATCACCACACAATTCTGAAGAAAGTCAATATGTGAATTTGTTCACACGGTGAGAAAAATAATAACGTAAGATATTTCAACAATGCATGAGACATGATTCACATCGTAACATAGATTTGAGTGGGCATATGTTTGTACAACAAATTTCTGACTTTCTCTTCTACATACTATTTTCCCTCCTTAGTTTACTAGAAATAAGTAATAAATTATACCAAGCGTCTGCAAACTACAGCCCAGAGGCTAAATCCAGCCCAATACCTGTTTTTGTAAATAAAGTTGTACTGAAACACAGCCACTCCCAGTAAGTCTTGTCATGGCTGCTTTGGCGCTACGAGGGCAGAATTTTGTAGCTGCAACAGAAATCTTCAGGCCCACAAAGTCTGAAAAACTTACTATCAGGCCTTTCACAGAAAAAGAGTGCTGGGGCCCCTTGACCCTAATATTTACTAGAGTTTAAAATGATAGAAGGAAAGGATAGTAATATTCACCCGGACTTTGGAATAAAACAAAGACTCAACCTAACACACAGCTCTACATAACCAAGTCAAGGGCATGGAGAAGATTAGTAAGTAATTGAGACTTTTTCTAGGAACCTTTTGGTGAATTGGTGGAGAAAAACCAAGTTATAGATAGTATTATACTGAATCTTTATGAACAAGTTTTTTTCAGGTTATTTAAATATCTCAGATTCCCTTCGTAAAGTTCAGTATACAACATAAATAGTCAGAGTGGATGGGGAGGGCATGGTGGAGAGAAAACAGAGAGAAACAATTTAAACAACCCCTTAAAAAACTGCTGTAATTATACTGCCAGAAATGACAGCCTACATTCTACAAATCAAAGTTTATCTCCTCTATTTCTTTGTGGTTCACTAATGCTCTATGTGAGAGTGACTGTCACCATCAGTTATCATAGATAATAACCTGCCTTTAAGTTAGAGAAAATACAGGAAATTGGGAAAAACATACAAATGAATAAAGCATCAAAAGAAATGCAGTTCTACTTACATCTACTTTTCTACAAGAGGCATTTCATTATTTTCAGCTACTTCAGTAACAGCAATTTTTTTTTAAGTTTCTCTAAAGAAATTTTAGGTAGAGGAACCTAAACATTAAGAATAACTAAATTGGGACGAGGTGGGTGGGAAAAATGGGTGAAGGTCAAAAATACAAACTTTCAGTTAGGAAAAAAAAACAGAAGAAACTAGTCTGCCTACATCTCAACTACGCTGCCTTTACATTGCCTCTCATCATGTACACAGACATGATCCTACGTGATTTCCACACCTTTTCTGTTGCTCATCTAAGACCACAATCCCATTTTCGCCACAGATATCCTACATCTCCTAAATAGGTCCTGGGATTTTTCTGTACCACCACTATTCAGTCTCAGCACAAGAAACATCACTCAAAAAGTGATGGATAAGGTGGTTACCAGGGGAAAGGACGGGTGGGGGGAGGGCACTAGGGGTGAAGGGGTGTACCTACAACATGACTAATAATGATGTACAACTGTAATTTCACAAGGATGTTAACTATCACAATCTTAATTTAAAAAGAAAGTAGAAACATAAAAAACAAATAAAGTGATGGATAAAGGGTAAGGGTGGAGGCATTTGAAGACCCAAAAGTGTCAAGGATGGAAATCAGTTTCCATACAAATGCTGCCTGGAGATATGCTGAGGATTCTGAGACAGAAAACATTTTATATAATGTATGGATCACTAAAATATTTGATACAGTTGAAACCTACAAAATTCAACTACTAAACCAGTTTGTTAGAAAAGTGTGCAAAGCAGATCTCTAAAAAAGACTGTATTCAGTAATTCCTTATCCTCACTTAAAATATAAACCTTTTAAAGGACTTACCTGTTGTACTATTTGATGGTATCCATTAAGTACTGTTCTCAGCTGCCAACTACACAGTAATCTAAAATTTTAATAGAACAAACTGGTTTGCTCATTGTTGAGAATTAAAAGAAAAAAACTTATTTGTATGCTAACACAAACATGCATATACATAAAAAAGAATGACATAAACATAATTCTGACAAGTTAATAAAATTCTTACCACTGATACTGTTGAAAGTCTTGTCTTCAAACTGTCAGTACTAATTTTATTTCAAAATATAAATAACTGCCATCAGTAAATGACATGCAAACAGCACATCCTTTTCTAACTTTAACATACCCAAAGTAACGTCTTCTACTGAACTAGATTCTTCTCCAAGGTAGGTTAAAAAAAAAACAACAGTTGTGAACGTAATAAACAGAACTTGCATTTGAGAAAGCATACATAGCAATATAATCTTCAAATTCCAGATTAATGTAACTAAAAGGATATACACTTTTAACTGTGTAAGTAGTGATAAGTTAATGTCCATCTATCTCCTGGCTCACCTCAGCTGTGCTCTCAATATTGCGAGATAAGTAACTCTTCCAAGTACTGCTTTTACTCGCCTAGAAGTAGAAAGCCTCTCCCAACCACGGTCTTTTCAAACCATCATGACTCCCTCCATTCTTGGTCTGCTAATCCCCATTCCCACCCCTACCTCCTTTCTTAGTGGTAGAGTAGCTCATTCAACTGCCCATGGAAAACCCCCCTCCAAATGTACTCTCTGTCCCTTGCCACCAACTCTGTCACAACTATTCATTAATTATCCCGTTACTGTGGTATCCTTAACTTATTTTCTGCTAGTTTTTTCTCCTTAATATATTTACTTGCTCAAGCAAATCTCATCTGAAAAAAAAAAACATCATCATGATAACTCTTCCTTGACTTCAAACTCTAGTCACTGCTTTCCTTTTCCTTTCTACCCGCTCACCCACTCTAAAACCCAACACAACCTAGCTTCTGCCACTACATGAAACCTATTCATATCTAACCTGATCCCTTGGCAACACTCAGCACTGTTAACTATTCCCTCCTTAAGCCTCTCTTAATTTGCCTTCAGAGACAACTGTCTAGATTTTCCTCTTACTTCTCTGGTCAATCGTCTTCTTCCAAGTCCCTCTTTATTTACTAGTCTTTTAAATGTCAGTATGCCCTGAAGCTTCTGTCACTGGCTTTTTCTCTTCACCCGACACATGCAGGTAGCAGAAAGTCTATTCATACTCATAGTGCTAAATCCCATGCCTACTGTGACGTCCACATACATCTCCGTTCTAAGTCTCACACTCAAGTTCCACACCAATTTACTACTACCTACTAAATATCTCCTCTTGATATTTCACACACAATATGTCTCAAAATAATTTCTCTTCTACTGCTCCATTCATGACCTCTTCTCTAGCTTGGTTATCTGAGCCAGGAACTTGGAAAGCATCATCCGCTCCTCTCTCCCTCTCATCTCTCACTTCTAATTAGTCCCAAAATCCTGTCAATTCTACTCATAAATGTCTCTAGATTTTCCTTCACTCTACCCCCAGAGATACTGAGGAGCATAAATGAGATTTTGGGCACTACCTAAATTTCCAGTCTCGTTTCTTGACATTCCTTGATATGCTGTCTGGACAAATAGCCCACGTTGATACCTAATGTATACCAGCACTTAACTGATAATATGGGTCTTCCCACAGACTGAATATACACATAATTAACATCAGTCAAAAGATGAAAGCAAACTCTTCCAATTATTTTGTATTCTCCCTTTATACTTCAGTTCAGTACTTGTTAGCGAAGTTTACACAGTTGCTGTTTACTGCTTTACATGAAAAAAAATTAGAGAATTAATGTGTTACCTCTGAAAAACACTTCAGCACCAAGAAAAATCATTTACAAATGCACCCTGATTCAGAAAATCAGAAACGTTTCTGGGTGACTAATAAGTATTTTAGGCAAAACTCTAATAACTAGAGTCGGTTTATACCAGGTTAATCCCCTGTCCATCCCACCAAGACGAATGTATCTAACAACACACCACATCACCTTGCATTCTTCAACTGTAAATCTTCAGGCAACAATATTCTAAGTTGGAAATCTCTGCCCTGTGGAAAATATTGAAAGGGTTCACTCAAATTTTCATCTTTCATTTAATATTAAGAGAAGTTAAGCATAGAATAACATAGAAAAGGCAATGTTTTCCTTTATTTTCTAAAAGGTATCAACTTTACCCAAATCTTTATACTTGTTAAAATATAGGCAACAGAATATTGCATCTGAGGGAAAATAACTCAAAAGTGCGTGTCAGAAACTTCGTAATTATTGGGAAATCAAAAGACTAAGATAGAACTTTGTTTTTAAAAAGAAAGTCACATAAACACAAGAAACCCTAAGAAACAGCTAATGTAGACAAAAAAAAGAAATTTAAATGCTATTTCTTAAGAAATAAACTTATGAAAAAGGAAATTCTTTAAAATTACTTTGAATATGGAAGGAAAAAATCAGTGCAAAATAAGAATACATAATACATTACAGGCTTTCAATTTTCTAATTTATAATAAAATGAAAATATATTTAGTTACACAATCTAAATATAGAGAAATATTTTCATAAATCAGAGTATATCTAATTCTCCCACACTCACTGACCTTTAATAAATAAAATCGCTAACATATAAAATTACTTATTCTAAATATTCACTAGCTTTACATTTGAATATACCAACTTTTACTCAAAAGTCTTTCTAAGGAAAGAAAGACTATTCTGAGAAATATATTCAGTTTTACTTTCTTGAGAAAGCGAATGGGTAAGCAGCTTAAACTTTGTACCTTAAATAGTATAATACACATGAAATCTGAGCAAAAGCAAGCAGAAAAAGACAAACAGAAATATAATCTTTTACTCCAACAGTATAAAATAAAAGAGGGTAATAAAATCCTTGAAAAACAATTACCACGAGAATTTTAGCAGTCTCCCTCAAAGCAGTTTCAAAAATAGAGGAACACAATTAAATGTACCCCATAACCTTTACTTTCATGGTAATATTACAGTTCTGACTTTCATTACATTTAAATGTCCTTTAAAAAAATGAAACAAAATGTACTACTGACCTTTTCAAAAGGTCAAGTAACAATAATTCACTATTTCATTAAAGCACTAAAAGGTATTATGTAGTAACTTTAACCTAACTTTATAGACATCCCACACATAGGTGTAAGAACAATCTGGAATTCAAAATTTACATGAAAAATAGTAAAACTACTCTACTGATCTGTTATCTGAAAGGATAAAATTCCAAAGTCCCTTATTTGCAAAATCCAGTCATTTTGAAAGGTCAAATGTCATGTCACATGCCATAATACTTTTCCGACTCAAGAAAATGTCCCAAATTAGCTTTTTTTATTAAAGCATATAAAAAATGTTAATTGCTCTCAAGAAGCAGATTTTCTAGACTTACAGGGAACAAAAGTACTGACAATTGCCTAAATCTGAATCTCTCCAAACATCCTCCCAAAAAACTATATAGATCAAAATTAAGAACAAATAAAACCACAAAAATCCCACATCTTCAGCAAAAATCAGAAGCTGGAGAACACAATAAACTTCAAATCTATAGGAAGAAAAATATAAACCACTTCCCAGTGGTTTCCACTCTGGGGCTCTCACAGCAAGTTCTTTTAGAGAGCTGGGGGGGGTTCAGAAAAAAACGCATGAAAGAGAAAAGAGGAGATTGCACTAAGTACAAAAATAATAAAGAGTTCCAGTAAATCAGAACACTGATTACAGAGAAGGGATTTAAAATGAACACAAAAGGCAAGGACCTCATCTTGGAAAAGAAATGTAAGAGTAGATGAAAGTAAAAAGGCAGGTAGAGACATCCTTTGGAAACTGGGTGTTAGGAGGAAAAAGAAGAGGGGAAAACTTATATAACAAAATAAAAACACTTCAGCCCTCCCTCAGCACTACCAAAAAACACATCCATTAAATAACCTGCACTTTGCTTCAGCAACAGAAGAGGGTATTCTTGAACTGGGAATTTTACAAACTACTGCGAACAGCCAAACTGTTCACTAACACAGATATTGTCTTCATCAATGCCAAGCTACTATGAGACAAAATCAGAATAACAGAATCAAAACATCTCAGGTGATGACAATTTCCCCTGCAAACAAAAACCACAAAGCATAAACAAATTATAATATTGAATCATACATATTATCAAATGAACATTTGCACCCAGATTCAGAAATTCAAAAAGAACAGAAATCATTAAAAAAATTAAGAACAAAATAATATTAAAATGGGAGAACAAATTAATAGCTGCTCAGCAAAGAACAGAGTAAAATAAAAATTTCATAAGAGTCAAAGAAAAAAGCAAGAACATTAGCAATTGAGAAAAAAATTAAAGATCATCAGAGAAAAACAGTTGATGTAGAAAACAAGCAAAGAAAATCCAATATACAAAGAACTGGAGACCTTGAAAAGGAAATCAAAATAGTAGAAAAGAATATTTAACATTATAATCCAAGTATATTTTCTGAAAATTCACATACTGAAGAAGACAACTGGACATATGAGAAAGGCTACTCCTAACAACTCACTCTGAGATATATCTTGATATACAGACTTTAAAAATAAGGAAAATTTTCATAGCTTCTAAGAAAAAGGTCAAATAACTTATATGGGAAACAGAATAAGATTGGCATCAGATTTCTCAAAGCAAGATTTTTTTTTTTAAAAAAAGCAACAATGGAACAGAACTTTTAAGGAAGTGAAAGGGAAGTTCTCCTAGCCATGATGGAATAATAGGCACAGGATTTTCCTTCCCACATTAACTAAAAAACTGGACAAATATATGAAATAATGATTTCCAGACCTCAAACAAAAGGCAATACAGGGCAGTGATCCTTGAAAGAAGGGAAATAAATGAAAAAAATCTTTATAATTGTCCAGCTTTACTGCCTGGAGAATCTTCAGGCTGCAGGGCAAGGATGGAGGACCAAATAGAGCCCAACATTCTCCGGATTTGAGAAAAGACAGGGCTAAGTTAGGGAAGGCCAAGGCAAGTAGAATTCACAAGGTACAGTACCAAAGAGGACAGAAATATATGGAGAAGAGAGAACTACACAGAGAGTAAACCTAGAGAACGTCAGAGGATTCCTCAAAAGGAGTTGTCAGCTGAGTACTGATTGCTGCATGGATGTGAGAAACCCACCCAGAGCTGGGGAACCATGAGAATGAAGTATGCAAAACAATCTTGGAGGCATACAAGGCTGGATGTACTCATGTTCTGACCAGCCAGAGTGGAAAACCTTGTACATAAGAGCCATCAAATTCTCAGAAGAGTGCTTGCCGAAATGGTAGGGCCAAATTAGTCTAGGCTAAAGTCTGTTCTGTTTCTGCCTAACAAAGCTTAAAAGGAAACCTTGGAAAGATCAAACTGTTTCCAAGTAATTTAACTGCAGCTTAGAACAAATCTCAAGAACATTTAAGAGAATAAAATATATTTAGCTGCAACAAGTAGAATGCACAATGTCTGGCACCCAATCATATACCAGGTTTGCAGAGAAGTAGGAAAATAATCTTCCATAATAAAGAGAAAAATAAAAAGAAATAAATACAAAAATGGCAGATGACAGAAGTGCTTAAAAATTTTTAACAGTTATAACTATATGTCATATGTTCAAGAAGGTAGAGAAAAGCATGAGTATGCTAAATAGACACAGGAAAGATACAAAGAAAGACTCAAAGTGATGAAAATTACAATGTCTGGGAAGAAAAATATGTTAGATGGTATTAACAGCAGAGTAAACATTGAAAAAGAAAATATTAGTGTACCTGAAACATAGAAATAGAACATCCAAAATAAAACAGAGAAAGAAACTGAAAAAAAGAAATGCACAGACCATCACTGAAGTATGGAACAACCTAAAGTGGCCCAATATGCATGTATTTGGAGTCTCCAGTACATGTGAGAGAGAGAGAGGGGAATAAAAAAATTCTTGAAGAAATGATAGCTGGAGTTTTTCCCAAATTAAATGAAAATATATACCCACAGATCCAAAAGCTCCAAAAACTGTACAGAGGAAAAATATTAAGACAACTACGCCAAGGTACATCATAATCAAATTGACAAAACCAATGATAAAAATAAAAATCTTAAAAACAGTCAAAGAGAAAGAATACACTACTTACAAAGGAACAAAGATAAGAAAAAGTAGACATTTCTGATAGGAAACAATGTAAGAGAGTGAAGCAACATATTTCTTTTTTTTTTCCAAGGAACATTAGCCCTGAGCTAACATCTGCCAATCCTCCTCTTTTTGCTGAGGAAGGCTGGCCCTGAGCTAACATCCGTGCCCATCTTCCTCTACTTTATATGTGGGATGCCTACCACAGCGTGGCTTGCCACACGGTGCCATGTCCCCACCCAGGATCCGAACCAGCGAACCCGGGGCCGCAAAACTGGAATGTGCACACTTAAACCACTGCACCACCAGGCCGGCCCCCTGAAGCAACATTTTTAAAGTGCTAAAGAAGAGAAAAGTCAACCTAGAATTTTATACCCAGTTTAAGTATCTTTCAAAAGGCCAAATAAACAATTTTTCAGACATAAAAGAGCTGAAAAAATTCATCAGCAGCAGACACACACTACAAGAAATGTTAAAAGAAGAACTTCAGGAAGAAAGTAAATAAAATAAGGTGAAAATCTGGATCTACAACAAAGAATACCAGAAACAGTAAATCTAGAGGTAAATATAAAAGACTTTTTCTTATTTTTAAATCTCTTTAAAGGATAATTGTGCCAAAGTCAGAACAATCTGAGCAACAAATAATGTAGTATTGGATTATAACCCAAATATAAAATAAATATACATGAAAATATACTCACATAAATGATAGAATTAAGTAATGGGGGAGTTAAACCAATCTCCCATACAGAAAAATTCCAGATAAATGCTCCTTAAAGGAGGAGGAGCATTAACTCCCCACTAATTAATGGGGGCTGCTCACAGTAACTTCCTTCCAAAGACCATACCATGGAAAGCAGGGAAAAAGAGTAACTTTACAGTAGAGAAACAAGAAACACTACCTCAGCCCAGTG